AGTAGTCCTTCTTTGAATTGTCGCCATGAAAGGACTCCATAAGTGTGTTCAAACCAGTCAAACCATTGTATGGCATCCCCTTCAAGATGTATACCTGCAATTTCCACCATGGATGCATCCGCAGTTTTATGGTACCGAAAATATCGTTCCGCACGCGAGATCCAACCAATTGGGTCTCCTTCTTCCCATCTAGGGAAGTCCACTCTCATGCGCGAATAGTTGGGGTCGGTCATAGAGCCTCCCCTCTCTTGGAAGTCATCTCTTTGGGCATGATGTGATTGGTTAGAGCTCTCTCCTTGATGTGATTTCTTTGGGCTTGGTGGTCGGCCCAAACTGAATTCGGTAAGGAGAGTCCGAATCTTGTCCTCCATTCGTGCCTCAAAGGCTTCAAATTTAGCATTGATTGCCTCCTCAGATGCCATAGTACATGACTCCAAATCTGTAATGTTAAGATCTCTCTTTTGTTAACGGGTTAAAGGCATGTATAGGTTTGATAGAAATCAGTGAAAGTTTGCTGCAGAATTGTGTTGTCTTGTAAGAGCAGAATTATCGTCGAAGAAACAGCGGTTTCTCGACGAAATCTCCACAAAAAATTTGAGGGATTTGAGGAGGGAATTGACAGCAATATCTCAGTTTATATGACAGCAATGATGTCCAATTTAAAAAAGAAAATTTCGACAATAATAGCAAGAAAATTGGTGTAAGTTGCTATAGCAGAATTCTCGTCGAAAAATTTCAGCAACTTATGATGAAATTTACAGCAATAAAGGAACGAAATTTTTTTTTTTGGATTTTCGAATAGGGATAACTAAATTGCAACAGTAGTAAGGTAGGAAACCAGAACCTGGTGCAATTCACAGGGAGATCAAAGGATGATCTGCGATGGTGGAGATGACGGTGGAATTTGGCGATGATCTTTTAAGCAATTGTGGGAATTGCTTTGGGCGGTTGTGGAGGGTTGATGGATGGCAGTGGAAGGGCAGCGAGATGCCAAGAACGCTGCTCTGATACCAGGTGTTAGAACCCTTACAGATTCTAAACTTGGGGTTGATGTCTTTAGGGGATCGGCCTCCTTGGAACTCTATAGGGGTTCCTCCCTCCAAGTTGCTGCTCAAAAGCTGCAGAAAAGATTCATCTATTGCTTAAGAAAAGAGAAAGAATACATGGCTATTTATAGGGCTTCTAAACCCTAACTCCTAATAGGACTCCTACTTAAGACTCTTACTTCTAACTAACTCCTAATAGGACTCCTACTCAAGACTCCTATTCCCTTACAACTCCTAATTCTTCTCTAAGAAAAAACCTCCTACATGAATGTTCCTCTCAATTAGGAATCTCGTAGCTAGAGTCCTAACAGAATATCCCTCTCAATTAGGACTCTCCTAGCTAGAGTCCTAACAGGAACTGATTCCAAACAAAAAGCAATTGAGTTTGCTCTGACTTGATCATCTTAACTGCAAGTTACTGGATTTGATCTGTAATTCCACATTGCAAAGCTTCCCAACATGACCTTAGAATGAAGCCTAGAATATATAAAGATGAAATCAGCCAGTAATGATGTCATGCTAAATTTTAGGAAAATCTCACAAATTAATCAAACACATTTTTGAAACACAACTTAAGCTGAAAGCTGACTTACAGCCTCGCTCCTTTAACATAGTAAGAGCTACATGGTTAATGCAACTCCATAACTCTATAATGGATAGCCAGACAGCAGACTCTTTATCCGTGTTCATGCTCCCAGAATCAGTAAATTCATGGCAACTGTAATCAGATAAACTAACCAGCATATACATACAACTATATCTGCGGTTTAATCGGGAGCATAGAAACCCTAAGTAGGAAATAAAATGGCTCGACGATCTCAGTAAAACAGAGGATCCAGTCGACAAAAATGAACAAGATGTACCTGAATCGAACGCTAACCTGCAAATAACCTTCTGGAAAGACCATATTGATCACAGTTCCGGCCTTATTTAAGAAAGAAAAGACAACCAAGGACATAAAGATCAGATTTTTAACACTGAAAGAAAAGATGACACCGAAAAGAGGCATCCTGATTAACAAGATCCAGATCGTAAACCCTGTAAACCCTAATGCGACAGAGGGGACAAAGATTCTCGCTGAAGGCGGTTCCAAGATATTGGCTTTGTTGTAGCACCAAAGCCGCACCTTCCAAGAAATACCCGAGGGAAGAGAACTCATCAAGGCCCTTCCGCCCAACTGCGAGTTCAGTAGGGAGAAAATAGATACGGAACCAAGAAATTGACCCGACGCCACGCGTTTGACGGTTCTCTACCTCGCGTAACGGAAGAATGCCGCGATCAAGAGATTATGGAACTCAGAGAGGAAGAAAAGAAAGCCAAAATGCGCGAGTCTTGGCACGACAAACCTTGATCCTCGTGGCCTCTGCGGCAAAGCCGAGCGCGGCCGAGAGGAGGCCAAGGAAGCCCACGGCGGCGCAGACCATCACGACATTCTTCTCCATCGCCGACAAGCCGCCCTCGATCTCGCGCGCGGGGAGGAATGCTTGGGAGCGACGACTGGTGCTTGCTTCGGTGGTCGTCACTGGTCAAAGTCCGGAAGACGACAGTGAGCTCCCCACTTCACGTTTCAGCATGATAGCGTTATTAAAGCTGAGACTGTCTATTGACTAATTAATTAAAAATGTCGTTAATTAAAAAAGATATATTAATTAAAAATATGTATCACTATTGCACATTCAAATTATCATTTATATAAGCTAAATCAAGTGTTTTGTATGATTTCAATTGATCTTACTATCAATTCATTAACCCAAAATGAACTTGTGAAAAACCAAGTGAGTGATATCATGAATTCAAAATTCTTACTTAAGCATTACCTGATTTCTTGATGGGCACAGAGATTCATTTTTCTTTTGTCACGAGAGTATAGAAACACTTTATCCATCTTTTTAACCACATGTCCAATAAAGATTCGAGACATTCATGCTCCCACATCACATACAAGTGGGGATGGCTGGTTACCTACCTGTCACTTGTACCAAATAAAATGAACTGTAAGATTGGTTGTTTGAGCAGAAAATATTAGTCAGCATGATTGACAAGTTACTATGGATGATGAGTTTATGTAAATTTAGAATGGAGGGATGATCTCCCACCTGAAGATTTTCCTAGTGAGAAATATCAGGCCTCAAATGTTGCAATCGATGGGTATTGCAAGGAAGCTTTGATTCAAATAGAAAGCTAACTTTGCTCGTTTAAATTTATTCCTGATGAGGACCATCACAGGCCATCATCAACACTAGTATTCTTGACTTGCAAAAACATTATTCATTTCAGAATGGATAGTAGAAGATGCCTCTAAGAAAGAAGATATTTGAGTCTTTGTGAGACCTCGACTCTTTAACTATTCATCAATGTGGTATTAAATATGACCCTTGTTAATTTCACATGTTTTGCTTTTGGAAAGAAGGTGAATAAAATTGCTGAGCAAGTAAACAACCAGCTTTGATGCTTTGAACACATTTTAGCAGACAGGTGTGGCTGCAGGCAGCCATGCAGAAGAGAGACTGACTGAATCATGTTTTGTAGTCGTGCTCAGACCATAAATCAAGAAAGATGAAGAGATGGGCTAAGAAGTGCTTCATGAGCTGGCCACAACATCTTGCAACATTCTCTGCACACTTGTTTACCACAGGCTGTATAAATATAAGTTGAGAGAACAAACCTGTTTCACTTTGACAGACTGGTGAAGAAACCTGCAAAACAATGGGAGCTACTATTAACATTGAAGAAAACAACAAGTCCTTCGTTCTCACATGCCTTCCGCTTCAATCTCATTCATCTAAATATATTTATTTTCACACAGACCAAACAAAATGGGTCTACATCCATCCATTGAATGATTCCAACTATCACAGTTCTACAACAAAAATATAACTCGAGATATCATATCTCACAATTCTGTATCATTAATCCAAGGTCACCAAAACCAAATGAGCGGAATCTACAAAACAATTCCATGCTTTCAAGCATTGAACATTCTAGACTAGAGCGATGGCCAACTAGACAGCCATCTCGTACGCATTGCATGCCATTACAGAGCAACATTACAAGATACCCCATTTATGCTCAGATTTCAATAGCAATCGAACACATTGCAGAACAAAGATACTGGGATTCAATCTACAATAAGTTAGATTCAATCTACATTTAGTTAAAAATTCTCAACTTAACTCTGCTGCAACCATACAAGATCGTAATGTTACAACCACTACCTTAAAAGGCCTGGAATTCCATGGAGCTAAATTTCCAAATTGAGACAAACTCCGCAGCTCACAGTGAAATTCAAATGTTGTATTTAAAGTGGTTGAAATGCATGCTCATATGAATCAGTTATTTCTTTTCTTCCTTCTCTGCTTCTGCAGCCTTCTTCAACCTGGCACCGACCTGACGCTTATTCATCCTCTCAACACGAAGCGTGGCATAGGCCTTGAATGATTTCATCTCGTCTGTAACCTTGACAAGCTCAACCGTAGGCTTCTGACGAGCAATGGGCATGTATGGGCCTTGGACCTGAGTGGCAGTTGCCAGTTCCTCCGGAGCAGAATCTCCAGCCTGACAGAGACAATGTACAAAAAAGCATAAGAACGCTTGTTAAATTAGTAGGAAATAAGCTTCGCTAGCAATCTCGGTGCAAGTGTTTAAGCTCGCCTTGACTTTGCGTGCACGCCTTGGGAAGATGACAAGCTTGGCTTTGTACGTCTTCAGCCTCTGGACATTAGCTTGGAGACCCTCAAGAGATCTATTCTTTCGCCTGTGATCGACCGCAATGCCAATTGTTGGTGCAAGCTTCTTTGGAATGCCAGCTGCCTGCAATTGCAGAACATACAGTCATTGTTTGGACAATGTACAGATGAAGAAACTAATTATAGCTGGAAAATATGAGGTGAACAATCACAACAAAGGATAAACTTTATCGTGCTAAATTTTCTGATGCAATAACCTATGACAGTGATGCAACAAGCCATACCTTCTACAAGAAAAATAATTTCATGTCATGTCATCTCAGCATCACAGATTATACCAATGCTTCCATGCATTATAAATGGAAGATTCATCATATATACGAACACTGGACTCCATAAGAATCTAAATTCCACAATTTTGCCAAAGGTCCCAAAGGTATATTACTCTATCAAAATAAACTGTTCATGTACTTGACTATTCTCTATAGAATCATAATTTGAAAAAACAGAAACATTCAGGAGACCTTTTCAATAAGTTCACGAAAAATATACATATGCATTTCAGCTCAATTGCACCACAATGACTTTCCCTCTCAAAACAGTCTTTATAACTGTACTACTTGGAGGTGTTTCATAGTCAAAAAAGAAAGTGTCTCATAGGAAAATGAATAAGCCCAGAAAAATGAATATTCAGCCTCACAAGCAAAGCAATGAGAAATAAACAACTTATTGAACAATGAACAAAGTAGTCACCTTCAGTTCCTCAAGAGTAAAACCCCTGCCTGCTCTAGATTTCATGTTGTACTTGAGTGTCTGGCATTGCACGATAGGGCGCAGGGGGCCAGCAGTTGGACGTGGGAAAATTTTCACAGCTTTCTTCTGTCGAGCTGCCACGTAAATAGATATCATTATAGTGCATTAAAAGGTGCAAAGCACCAAAGATGCAAAATCATTTTGGACTCTAATCTATGTCCTCTATAATATACACAGATAAGCCTGCAACAGTAGAAATTATGTTACAAAAGAAAGGGAAAGATGCTCACCAATGCGTCTTCTGGTTTTGCGGGCAGGCTGGTTGAACCAAGTCTTTACATAATTCTGCCAGTGCTTCTTGAAATGGCCATTTGGCACGACATTGTTATGTTTAACCATGGCTCAACACCTGAGTAACAAACGAGTTCATGGAAACAAGATCAACACCTCCAAGCAACACAAACTCAACAGCATAAGCTAATCTACACATAAATGCGATAAGCGAATAAAAATCAAAGCATCACCGAGACATGCACAACAAACTGTCTAAACTATTAATTATGTACCTATTCAATATTACACAATGCAAACTTTTGTATCACAGTAGTAGAAATATTACAAGTTAAAGAAAATGAAATGATTAATACTCCCCCCTCCCCCCAAAACTCGATTTCCCTGTGACATGATCCTCGCATCTACACTTTAGAGACTGGACGTCTTAATATGATTCGATTCTAACGATGAACCACATCTGAAAAGCAAGCCATCTACCATAACGAAAATATATCCATAACCATCTGGAATCACGACATCAGAAGCTTTTCAGGCGAATACGACCTCTGATCTTCGCAAATAACTTCCACAGATCCACGACCAGTGATCTCATACACAATGGTTTCCAAAAATATTAAAAAAGAACCGATCTTGCTATTTACAACTCCATTAAGCACTAAAAGGCAAATGGAAGCTTTGGACTCTCGCTCGAACGATGGAGATCTGTACCTTTCGCCTACCGCCCGCCGCAGCTAATCGCAACCTTGCAAATGCAGGCGAAGCACCCGAGCGAGGTCTTTTAAGGGGATGAGAGGAGGGGCGACGTGCGGAAGAACCCTGAATTGGACGGCTCAGATTGCAGGATTCGTGGATGGAGATGAGGGCCATATCCGGGCCTCTGTTTCAACTTAACGGATTAGGCTTTTACAATATTCTCCAGTTAAAAAGAAGGAAGCCCAATTAGGCTCGTTTCTCGAATTAGGGTATGAAATGTGGAAAAAATGAGCCCTAATCATATCATCCATCCTATATTTTAAGTTTTCAATTAGAGGGCTGCAAATTAGGTTAAGCTCAAACCGAACCCAACCCGATCGAAACCAATCGGTGGGTCAGCTTGGTTGGAGATATTAAACTTTGGTTTGGATAAGAATCCAACCATTAGTACTAAAGATGTGAGAGATTGAAAAAAAATAAAATAAAAATAAAAAATATATACTTTTTATTGATTAGGGGCAAACGAGGTTGGGTGAGATTACATGATTCCCACTTAAGAATGATTATTCTCACTTAAAGAGAATGATGTGTGGGAGTCTCTATGGTGCTAAGATTATCGAGTCTCCAATTGATATTTCTAAAATATTGAATCCAGTCAATTACCCCCAACAAAATTAGCAAGATGATATAAATCTTTACATAATTTTTTCAACCACTTAGGGAGGAGATCAAACTTTCCTAAAAATATGTTAACAAGTTGAAGACAATTAGTTTTAATTAGGATGTTATGAAATCCTTCAATAGCTGCACAGTGTAGACCAGCAAAAATTGCCTGGCATTTGACCTAGATTGGGTTGGCAGCATAATAAGTGTTGGAGTCAGTAGAAAAGGAACCATCTATTTCCAAAGTGAAAGTATGATTAGGAATTGGGATGTCGAGTAGGGAGGAGGGAACCCAAGAGTCGTCCAACAGATGAGAACCTGATTTCTGCTCATATATCAAGGCTTGTACCTTAAAGTCATATGGACATAGGGGAGGAGTGGTGGTTGCTGTGCAAAACCTCATTTATATTCTTCCAAAGCATCTAAAAGAATGTTACAATAAAGGATCTTAAACAATTAAAAGAGACTTTCTCAAGATTATCATCTTGGAGCCATAAGCCAGTGGACCAAGAGTTGATGAAATAAAATTGGTAGTACAGGAGAGTTTGAGCAAGATCTAAATATTGAGCAGCAAATTGACATTTAAAAAAAGTATGCTCAATAGAGACTAGATAGAATTGTCAAACATAGCATGGAGTGAACCAGCTTCCTCGCCGGACCCGTTTCCCCATTCGCCAGTCTGATCTCCGCTCAGTCGGTCTCTGCTGACGCAAAAGTGGCCCCATCGAGAGTACTAAGTTCTTCTTCATTGGTTGCGGCACCTCTGTCAGCTTCCCGAGCACCACTCGCTCAGACAAGTGGCAGAACCTAATGTCAGCCCAGTGAGTACCAAGCGACGATGGAGGCGACTACCAAGCACTACCGTGTGGCCCGCCACCGTGTCGAGCGTCTCCTTGGTCACCCAACGGAAAGAATTGGTGGGTGACAATCATGGGCTCCCCTTACCTCACCGGTTACTGTAGCTGGGCCCTCTTCGTCGACTATAGATTTCCACCTAGCTACATATTTTCAACTCGCCCACTTCGCTGCAGATTTCCACATCGCTACAAATTTCCACCTTGCTATAGATTTCCACCTCGCTGCATATTTCCAACTCACCCACCTCGCTGTAGATTTCTCCACATCGCTGCAGCTTCCTCCTACAACATCTTCCTTTGCCACAGCAGCCACAACAGTAGCAGCAGCTGCAATTGCAGCCATAATAGCAGCCGCAGCAGCAGTAGCGATCTGCTCTTACTCTTCTCACAAACCTCCTCCCTCCCTCCTTTTTTGTAAAGATCACTTTTCAGTAAAAAAAAAAACCAACAACAACAAAAAAAAAATGATAAAAATATCTGGGATGTCTTCCTTATCTTCTTTTGATATTCCAGTTACTATTTCTGTAGAGACTCATAGTACTTCTCCTACAGGGCTTATCTTCGTCAATGCTACCACGCTAATCCCTTTCAAGTTATCAAGGGGTGGCAACTATGCATCCTAGTGGGCTAAATTTTCTAATCTCTTATTTGGATACGACTTGCTCGGCTACATTAATGGCTCCTTCAGTTGTTCACCAACCATGATCAACATCCCCGGAGAACCCAGTCCAGTACCAAATCCGGCTCACAAATTATGGCTGTGTCAAGATCATCTCATCCTCCAAGCTATTCAAGTCTCAATTGTTGGATTCGTCACTCCATTGATATCCTCATGTGGGACTGTTGCCGAAGTATGATCTAAATTGTAAACTACCTTGGCAAATCATTTGCGTACTCGCAAGCTCAGCCTTTTGTCCAAGCTAATGGTGACAAAACAAGAGACAAGTACTATCACTAATTATCTACAAAATATCAAAGTTATCATCGATGATTTGGCTTTGATAGGTCATTTCCTATGTGATGAAGAAATCATCTTCCATACCCTTAATGGTCTCGGAAACAATTATAAGGAGTTGGCAGTCACAATTCGGGCACGCAACACGTTAGTATCATTTGAAGAACTATATGACAAGTTGACTGATTATGAGATGTAATTGAAGCGTGAGGACAAGTTGTCCAACCCGACTATCACAGCTCAAGTCAATCACTAGTCTAAGAGGAAGGGCACTTGGTATCCTTCGAACATCTCCAAAGGTTTGGCCAATACACATCTTGATCCTATAGATTCCATGTGAAACCCCCCTTGTCCTCCTACTCATAACTTCTCGCAAAGTGGCAACTTTAATAATCATCTGTCTTGGCATTCTGCCCCACCAAGCCACTAAAGAAGGGTTGTATGTGTTAGGATTGGAGTGGCACTAAGAGGGGGGGGGGGGGGGGGGGGGG